TGCTTACAGGCTCATTCATTTAGAAAACCTCTTACCTTAGACTACCAAAAAGCAACACTGCCTTTAATAATGACCAGAATATAACACAAATGGTTTTATCTGAGATACTATAAAAGTTATCTTCTTTTGAAACTATTTATATCTGCAACCCAAATAATGTTCCCATCACCAAAAAACTAAACTCTAAAGAATTAGCATATAAGTTGGTTTTCTCTGAGTGATTCCTCTAAGCAGTTTAAAAGTGAGTTAACCTAAGAAAAGTCATTTTCAGTAATCATAGACAATGATGTTGAACAAGAATATATAGAAAAGAAAATTGTGAATTTAAATAAAACCTGAACTACATATAACAGGAATAACAGTTTTTAAACACATTACAGTTGGCTCTCCATATCCGGGAGTTCTGTAACTGCAGATGGAAAATACTTGGGAAAAAATACAAATTAAAAAATGTATCACAACTATTTATATAACATGTACATGGTATTCAATATTATAAGTAATCTAGATTGAAAGCATATGGGAGAATGTGTGTAGGTTATATGCAATTATGTCATCTTCTATAAGGGACTTGAGAATCCTGGACTGTGGTATCTTGGAGTGGGTCAGGTAGCTTGTCCTGGAACCAATCCCCCATGGATACCAAGGGATGACCGTAATATGATTTTCTTTTTGCATTTCTTTGCATGACCTTCCTAGCCTGCCAGAATCATCCTTTTTGCCTCAGGGAATTTGGCTTGTGGTAGGAAGAATGTAAAGGAATGAAATGGGTTCCTGCTGGGTTTTTACCTATCAAAGTGCGCTCTTGCAGTCCCCAGTGAAGCAATGGTTTTGAGTAAGAGGAATTTCTCGGTTCCCCCAAAGGACTTAGGATAGCAAAGCTTAGAGAGCTGTGGACTGAGTTTTACAATAAGCCACAGGGAACAAAAACCTAGGCTATGAAAATACAGGAAGACACACCTGCCTAGGGAATGAGTAGCAAGGTTTCTAGGATAGGAGGAAAGAGATTCTAAAAAAGGAAGCATGGAAAAATGGAATGTAGAATTTTAAAAAAACATATAGAATGGAAAGATCTACAAAGCAAAGCCCCTATTCCTTCTCCCCAGCTCCCTACCCCAGGACTAAACCCAAACCACAAATCAGGGCAGGGACTTAGTGAGAATAGGAGATGCCTAAGTTGCAAAATTTAAGCAGGCATCCCCTGTCGGTACTGCAAGCCTGAATGGGAGCTCCTCCTCAAAGTCCGTACCCCAGGTGCCCTGCTAGCCTCATCTACCCAGTCCTGCTACAAAAACAGAGATGTGGTAATAGAAATATCCTAAGTCAAAAGGAAGAATCACACGCCATAGGTTTAGTGTCCTTTCTCAGGCAGATGTGGGGAAACCTGTGAGCTCTTAGGGTAGCACCAAATTCAGGGCACAATGTGGGAGAGAGAAGGCAGTGCCTGCACAGAAGTTTCCGAATGAACTGCCAGGGGGATGAGGAGATGCAGAGAGAATGAAGAATGAACAGAGGCCTGGGGATGGAAAAGAAGACTGTCAAGGGAAAGAGAGAAGACAGGAGGTGATGGGGGGTCTTTAATCGGTAGTAAGTGGGGTAGGTTACTATTAACATATTGAGTGAGGATACATCTAGTGTACAGACACCAGTGCAAGCAAGCCCCTCAAGAAGCTATCGTGAACTAAAAGACAACCCAGGGGCCTATGTGTACAGGTCTGAGACCCAGTCTTCACCAACTACAGGTTGTATAAATGCCATACGCTAAGGTGCCTTGGGGAGAGGGGCAATAAACCAAAGAGTCTGCCCTGGAGGATATTGCGTTTCTTTTTATTGACAAATTTTGTTTTGTGTTGTTTACTTTTCCCTTGAAAAGTACAGGATGTCATATCATAAGCAATAATAAAAGTTATTCAAAACAAAAAAACCCTACATTTCTCTTTATAATGTACTTTGCCTATTTTTGGAGGGTTTATTGTCTTCCAATTACTGAGTTTTGAGAGTTCTGTATATATTTGCACACCAGTTCTTTATTAGTTATGTGATTTTAAAATATTTTCTTCTGCTATATAGCATCTTTTCACTCACTTGAAAGTGTCTTTTGAAGGCCAGAAGTAGCTAAGAAATGCTTGCTTAGCTATCTGAGAAGGCTTCTAAGAAGTATCTATGAAATACCTAAGAAATCTCTGCCTAACCCAAGGTCACAAAGAGTTTTATCCTGTGTTTTCTTTGAGAATTTTTATAGCAGGGAGAGGAGTGACCTCTGAAAACTCAAGGTGCTGAAAATTTTTAAAAGAATTTCTTTTGCAGCCAGTCTGTTACTGCCATGAAATATATTTCAAGGTTTTAGCCTCCCAGTTGGTGCTCTTTGGAATGAAAACAAATTGAAGCATTTGCCCAAGGAAAACAAAATTGACATGTTCAAATAATTTTAAAATTTCTTCTAAAGATTAGAATATATTAATTCAGTTATTATCTTGGACTCTGACTTCAGTACCAATGGATAACTGGAAGTTGAATATACATACTTCAGTAATGGAACTATCACTGAATGTTTTGTTTTGGTTAAAATTTTGGAAAACTCCAGAAAACTCATACTGGATTTAATTCATTCATCCAATATGTTTATGGATACCTACTATGCCAAGCACTGTACGAGGGGCTTTTATCCATTTTCATCTATAGATTTTCCTATTTGATCTTTCTAATAACTATGTGCTTTGGGCAAAAGAAACTTCATTTTTAAAGGTTAAAATTTGTCAAATTCTCACTGTTAGTGAGAGAGAAGCTTCTGAGAATCTATAATCTAGTTTAATAGTCAAGTACCTTGACAACAACAATACCCTAAGATAAATGTCATGATAGACATACGTTAGCCTCTGTGGCTCCCAGAGGGAACCTCTGGGAAGGCTTTTAAAGAATAGAATTTTGACAGGTAAATACTGGGCTTTGATAAGGGGAGGAGGTAGAATAGAAAAATTAGAGGGGAAATTTTTCACAGAGGCACATTGGCCAGAGAATGCCTGGTGTGGTCATGGAACAGCAAGTTGCTGTGATTTTTGGTAAGGGGATAGGATGGTAGGAGATGTCAACATGTGACAGGTTTGGGGGCAAGAAGAGATATACTGTAGCAGGCAACAGGGAGTCAGCAAAGGATTTAGACCAGGAGAATGGCTACATCAGAACTGTGTTTCAAGAAATATTTTTGCCATCCTTAACTAATTGATGGCAGTCTGTGTAGAAGGAGGAAAGAGATAGGAGGCAGGGAGGCTGGGGGAGGCCATCTTGGTAATGCTGGCAGGATGTGGGCAGGACTGGGAACTGACCAGGGGAAAGGGAAAATTTCACTTTTCATCCAAAATGTTCTCTCCTAAGCTCTTTTTGTACTCTATCCTTGGGAAATAATGTAGAATCAGCTAACTGCCTGATTTGAAAGGATTTTTTAAAAATTTTTTGATTGATTGGCTTGTTCTTTATTTGACAACTAAAAAGGGCCTCTTTTTGTGCAGCAGAAAGATATAACCCAAGACGCTCCAGGAAAGTCAACTGAGTTATGGTGTAAAGAAAGGATGTGAGGGATGAGGGAAGCCAATTACTCCTCACTCAGGTACTGGAAAATAAAGAATGGACACAGAACACTACTGATCAGTAGGAGATCTGGAAAGGATGAGATCAATTGAATTTGATTGGATGGGGGTGCTTAATGATGACTCCCCAATTTTAAAAGCAAGTGGCTAGAAAAATGGTGGTCTTTCTGTGGGAAATAACACAATGATTTAGGAAGAGAGATAATGTGCTTATTTTAAATAGGTTGAATTGGAAGACATTCCTATTCAAAAGATAGTCCAAATGATAGGACTTTCATGAGGAAATATCCAAAAGCTATTCATAGGCCAGAGATAGTGTTCATAAAAGAAGAAAGGGCTGAAAATAATAGTCAAAAGTTGTCCACATGGAGATAAAGCCATGTGTGGTTGTCTGTGCTGAGGGATAACATGGTGACAAATAGATGGTGACTAAGGGCAGACTTTTGAGGAAATTCAGCAGGAGAAGAAGACCCATCCAGAGAGACAGAAAGGACATAAGGCAAGAGACGCAGAATATGTAGAACTTCAGGGGTAAATAGAAGACAGGCAGAATTGGTAAAATACAGCAGACCTGTCAGTGAGCATGTGGATGCAGGGGCTGTGTTTGGTGATAAAGGATCAATTCTTCTGGGCAGGCTTTCCACCTTCTCTCTCCTGCCCCACTCCAGGCCATCTGGGTCTTTACTTTCTCTCTTGTTGCCTAACCTGAGCAGAGACAGCACTGATAATGGGTTAGCCAGCAGTTTACCCTTTGCATCAAATGTTCTCTAAAAGCAAGGACTGTGGGGCCTCATCCCGCAAGGTGATACAGGATGGGAATTCGGGGAAAAATAAACATAATCCCTGATGGAGCAGTGTCAGGGGAGTCCAACTGTAAGGTATTATGGAACAGGAAGATGGTAGGAAATGAAAGAAGCACCTGATTATAGAAGGCAGGAAGGGAGTTATGAGAAGATTCCATTGAGAGAGAAACAGAAAGAATAAAATGTTTAATTATATGGTAAGAGAGAGTTGTCTATGTCCCTAAACTGCAGTGAAAGCCAACGGAAAGGAGGGGATGACGATGCAGGAAGAGGCGATGGTTAACTACTGATGGAGTGATTCTGAGAAGGGACTGGTAAACACAAGGGTGGGGTTAACCTCTGACTGACGGCAGGGTATGAGAGAAGGTGCAGAGAAATGTAGAGGTGAGAGGTAGGCATAGTGAATGGAATGGACTATGAAAAAAGGAAGCCATGGCTTAATGGGAAACAAACAAGAAATCCCCCCAACCTGGAAGTTCTGATACTGCCATTTTATCAGTTGTGTGACCTGTGGTAAGTGACTTAACATTTTTTAAATGCCTCAACTTCCCTTTTGGTAAAAATGGGAGCACTAACTTCCAACTCCAAAACCAGGCGCCATTGTCCCACTTACTTGCAAGTGCCCTCTTAGATGTTTCTCTGTTTCTGTTTTAACGTTTCCTTTTCTGGGTAGAGGAGCTGGAAGATGGGCTGGATCTTATTAGCAAAGCAGGAGGTTGGGTCATCTGAGTACGGAGACAGTGATGCCATAAGCCTGAGAGATCACGAAGAGGTTTTAGCAGTGCTGGGCATAAGTTAGAGAAATTAACACAACGTGAATAAAGATTTGCAGGCACCAGTGAGGACCCAAGGGAGATTAGAGGGCAGGGAGGCCTGATAGAAGAGGAATCAGGCCCCTAGCTGAAGAAGTTTTGGGGAGGTGTGCTACAAACTTCGTTTTATTTTATTTATTTCTGAGACAGGGTCTCGCTCTGTCACCCAGGCTGGAGTGTAGTCGCCTGATCTTGGCTCATTGCATCCTCGACCTCCCAGGCTCAAGCGATCCTCCCACCTCAGCCTCCGGAGTAGCTGGGACCACAGGCCCGCATCACCATGCCCGAATAATTTTTGTATATTTAGTAGAGACGCGTTTTCGCTATGTTGTCCAGGCTGGTCTCGAACCCCTGGGCTCAAGCGATCCTCCCGCCTCGGCCTCCCAAAGTGCTGGGATTACAGGCATTAGCCACCGCGCCCGGAACAAGCTTCGTGTCTGAACCTGGCTCACATCTCGGGAGGCTTGGGGATGGGCTTCAGCGAGTTCGGAGGCCCCGGAAATCGCCCAGATGCATTAATTTCCACAAGACTTGCAACGAGTTCTCAACACAACGGTTAGGAACCAGTAATCAGAGCTTGGTAAGCCCTCCGGGAACGCGAGCCGCCTCCCAGCCTTTCGCCCTGACGCGCTCTAGCAGTGCTGCAGAAACTTCAGGAACTTCGTTTTCATCTCTTCCCCGACGCACGACCTCGGGCTTTTTCTTTTTGTAAACTGCTGAGTGTGGAGAGGCACCGCCCTTCCGCGCCCAGCCGCGGGGCCGCCCCTGCCTCCTCCCGGTGATCCTTCCCGGACGGCGCTGGAAGCCCTGGCGGCGGCGGCCCATGGGGCCCTTGGCGCTGCCCGCCTGGCTGCAGCCCAGGTAGGGCGCTCGGCCGAATCCCGAGGGCAGGGGGCCCGGGTGGAAGGTCTGGGGGCGGGAGCTCCCCTCTGCGGCGGGCGGGCGGGCGGCACCGACCAGGAAGGCACAGCGCTACCGTGCCCAGGCACCCCTTGGAGCTCGTGCAGGTATTTGCTTACTTACCCCTCTTGACCACCCTAGGAAGCAGGCTCAGTTATTTTCTCCATTTTACAGATGAAGAAATGGGAAGGACAGGCTGCATGGCTACCCCTGCCCTTGTGAGCCCTCTGCCAGTACTTCCCTCCCCCACCAGGGGCCCTTCTCTTGACTTTCTCAGATGCGGAGTTGCGGGTGATTTTTAGATCTAACAGCCCTGGAAACACCTATCACACGTATGGATTTCAGAGCCCTGTGGTGGGGGTGAACAGATTCAGTCATATAGCGGTAGGGCCTGGGGGGTGTATATGTTTAACGCACAAACCAGGTGATCCTGATACAAGCTGAAGGAGCATGTCCTCTTCCCAAACTCTTTAGCAGATCCTGCCTTATGGGGGGTGTCCCCAGATAAAATCATTCTGTCTCCCAGCTTATTTTCCTTGTTTCTCGGAGGTTTTGCATCTCCAAGGAGGAGTAAATCTTGACAACACTGGCAGGGCCACTCCCGTCACTCTTCTGAACACCCAGGGAACATTTCAAACAGTGCTTTTTCCTAACTCCCTCAAACCATGTATCTGTCAATCTTCTCTTAGTCATCTCCCCAGCAACTCACAACACATTGTTAAACCCAGCTTGACTTCCCTTTTCTGGTATGAGCAACTAAATTGCTTTCTATGTGTATCTGATGAAGGAAACTATCTACCCTTGCAAAATATTAATAGGCAGTGGCAAGATGTTAATACTAACCCCAATCACATAATGTGTTCAAAAGTCAGGTGTGTCTAGTTACTGAATTATCCAACATTTGGATTGCTCCCATCCCTACCCCCCTTCAGAACTAAAACACTTGTGTCTCAAGTTTCGCACTTAGCAAGCTGAGCTACTGGAACACATAGTGACACGTCAACCCCTCTGCACACATGGATTTTTTGTTGTTGTTTTATTTTTTATTTATTTTTGAGACAGAGTCTTGATCTGTCGCCCAGGCTGGAGTGCAGTGGCACTATCTTGGCTCACTGCAGCCTCTGCCTCCCGGGTTCAAGTGATTGTCTTGCCTCAGCCTCCTGAGTAGCTAGGTAGCTGGGATTACAGGCATATGCCACCACATCCGGCTTTTTAATTTTTTTATTTTTGTAGATATGAGTTTTTGCCACGTTGGCCAGGCTGGTCTTGAACTTCTGGCCTCAAGTGATCCAACCCGCCTTGGCCTGCCAAAGTGTTGGGATTATATGCGTGAGCCACTGCACCCAGCCGGTTTTTTTTTTTTTTTTTTAAAGAATATTCAAAGCCGCCTTCGCAGTGGTTTCTTTTATTCCTTGGTGAGCAGCAAGGTTAGAACTTTATCAAAGATGAAAGCAGATTTTGAAAAAGCACTATATTTGGTTTTAAGCAAACTCACTCTACAGATGGTCCATGACTCACATTTTTTTAAACTTTGTGATGGTGTGAAAATGATATGTATTCATTAGAAACCGTACTTCAAATTTTGATTTTTAATCTTTCCCCAGGCTAGCGATGTGCAGGTATGATACTCTTTCATGATGCTGGGCCACAGCATCGGGCCACAGCTCCCAGTTGGCCGCATGATCAGGAAGGTAAACAAGCAGTACTCCACAGTGCACTGTGTTGCCAGATGATTCCGCCCAATTGTAAACTAATGTAGGTGTTCTGAGCAAGTTTAAGGTACACTAGGCTAAGCTGTGATGTTCTGTAGGTCAGCTGTATTACATGCATTTTCAACTTATGATATTTTCAGTTTACGATATTTTCAGCTGATGGGGTGTATCAGGACGTAACTTCATCGTAAGTGAAGAAGCATCTGTACTTACTTTAGCAGGTAGTGTAGGCTATGGCTCCCTTCAAAATCTGATATGTACTTGGGGGTAACCAGATAAAAGACTGATATGGAACAGTTTTCTTTTGCTTTCTCAGGTTGGCCAGTACATTAAAGGACATGTGTACAGTATGAAAGGATGATTATAAAAGAAGTGTTTAATGGTATTTTCCTGTATTTCTAGGTATAGGAAGAATGCCTATCTTTTCATCTATTACTTAATCCAGTTCTGTGGCCACTCTTGGATATTTACAAATATGACAGTCAGATTCTTTTCATTTGGAAAAGGTAAAACTCCAAAACAGTTTTTTATTTTTAACTTTTAATCCTTGTTTTCGCCTCATCCTGCTTAAATTTCTATACATCTCAACCTAATATCCTTCTCTAAAATTTGTATTTTTCAGCAACCATGTTTATTGCAAAACCTTCTTGGAGAAGGGGAAGGTGGGATAAGTAAGGGAAAGGGATTTGGCTTCGCTCTGAGTAGGCAGTTTGCCTGAAAACAGAGATGGATGGCACTGGGGTGGTATCATTTCATTGTTCCTTTTCCATTCTGCACCAAACCTTAGCAGATTTCTTGTGTTTTGAGGAAATCTCAGCATAACATTTTATGCAGAGAAATCAGGAATGAATCAAATTCTTCCAGTGTTTGTATTATTCCCCAGGTTTGAGGTAACTGGAGACTACTAGTAAGTGAAATACAAATTTTATATTCCCCAGGCCTCTATTTGGTCCCTTGAAGAAGTAATATGTAAATGACACACTCTGTAGATGTGTACCACTTATATAGTAGTCAGCATTAATGGTTCAAGTCATAAACTTCCTCTAGTTTCCTGAAAAGTAAAGTCACTGTTGGGTGACTAAATGACTATCAAAATAACATTCTGTTTATGTTCCATCCGCACATGGGTAAGTGTCATCACAGTTTACAACTGTTGAGTGACTTGACAATCTAAGCAACTGCTGGCTTCAGCTAAAAACAAATGTTTAGAATGTAGCTGGGAAAAGTCATGCTGTGCTCATCATTTCAGACGTGTGTATCATAAGAAGTTATTCTACTTGCAAGGTCCCATAGCTATTTTATGTTACTTTTTCTTACTGAAAATCTCCAGATATGTTCTCACCTTTGTTAAGGCCCTCCAAAGATATAACCTAAAGCTTGAGTTTCAACTACAAATGTTGAGAGTTTTCAAGCAGAGGAAAACACAGGTGATGGGAAAACTTCTTTTATATTTTTATTAAAACTTCTTTTATATTTTTATTAAAAAGCCATCACTTCTGGCCCTTTGAGGTTTGCTGAGGCGGTGTAGGCATGTGACATGTCATTTGCCACACAAGCCATGGACTCTCTTATGCTGCCTAGTCTTTCCAGTGAGAAAAGTTGCCTCAGCGAGTATTTCTTTTTCTTTTTTTTTTTTTTTTTTTTTTTTTTTTTTTTTTTGAGATGGAGTTTCCCTCTTGTCATCCAGGCTGGAGTGCAATGGTATGATGTCACCTCACTGCAACCTGTCTCCCAGGTTCAAGTAATTCTCCTGCTTCAGTTTTCTGAGTAGCTGGGATTACAGGTGCCTGCCACCATGCCCGGCTAATTTTTGTATTTTCAGTAGACACGGGGTTTCACCACGTTAGCCAAGCTGGTATTGAACTCCTGACCTCAGGTGATCCGCCCACCTCGGCCTCCCAGAGTGCTGGGATTATGGGTGTGAGCCACCATGCCTGGCTCGGCGCCTTTCTTTCTCAATTATTACCCTGCCATTATAATTGTAGAAGCTACTTATTATTAAAGAAACACAACTGATTCATTCAGGAGACGGACTGAAAACAACCAAGTGTGGATTCAGTACAATTTTTGAATCAATGTATAAATTACGTAAGTAGCTCAACAGAAACCTGAAACCCGGAACGTGTTATACCTGCTACCTTCTTCCTTCACAGAGCTGTGTAATTCATAATGCTTTGGTACAGTGAATGCAGGGCAGTGGATAAGAGCATGGACTGTGTGCTTCAGGAACCACCTCTGAAATGGGGATGATGATAATAGTGTCCATCTCGTGGGGCTGCTGAGAAGAGAAATCCTTAGTGCTCAATAAATTATCAATGTGTGAATTACCACTGGGCAGTAGAGAGAGCAAAATCTTCCCTACAACTTTCTAAACATGGCAGGATTTCATTTTAAAACTTAAAGCAACACATTTATCCTATGTAGAGGAACATTTGTTTCCCTTCCATTTCAGCTCCCTCT